TATGAGTATGTCCGTCAAAAGAAAATAGTATCAAACAATAGTTGCCCACTAATGACTTGGAAATAGAGGTGGGCAAATCTCAATTTTGGTTATAACTAAAACAAAGATTTGATTAATAAAAAAAATTTTGTTATAATTTTTAAGACCAAAACCAATACCAAAATACATATTATTTTTTGGTTTGGTTAACAAAATTTTTGGTTATTATAAGCTTTGTTTCGATCTTAAACAATAATTATCAAATATAAAAGTAAGATTTAAAACGGTTAATAAAAAAAAAAGATATAACATTTTGATTTTCTTAAAAAAATATTTTAATTTCAAAACCTAAATTACAACAAAATTTATAGAGTACAATTTGAAAAAGGGATTGAATAGGATAAATTTTATATATACTTAAAATATTCAAATAATAATTGTTTGTTTATTAATATAAAATTTTATTTTTTGGTTGTACATTCAATTTTTGGTTTTCAAGCCCCTAACCAATACCCAACAAATTTTTTTCGATTATAACAAGAAAATAAAAAAGCCAAATGCATCTTATTAATTGGTTTTTTTAATTAATTTTTGATTAACCATTCAGTTAACTAACCATTTGATCACCCCTACTCGGGTAGAAAAGATAGTGTTGCTAATATTCTCTTTCCCAACATAATTTATTTGTTTTTATTTTTTCAGAACTTAAATCTCAAGAAAACTCCCCCTATTTTTTGGTACATAAGAGATTAGAAAACACACAGCAAAAACTAAGGCCGAAGGAACAAAGTCCCTGAGACATCCCTATGAAGGATACTACCAATGCCAACTTGCAAACAAAGTGATACCATGAGAGAAGTTTTGGCCAATAGAAAACACCTTCTATTTTAGTGGTATTTATAAAAAAATCCAAACAAAAAATTATCTTGCAATTTACTCAATATAAGAGTACAAAACATAAATTTTTAAATGATAAATAAACTCTTTAATATTTAAGATTTTTCTTTATTTAAAATCTTTAATTTACCGTTCAAACAATAAAACAACGCACTCAAACCCAAATATATTAGTGGTATATTACTTCGATGATGCAAGCAATCAATTGTAGAAAAAGAAAAGATTTTTTTTTTTTTTTTATCGGGTCATGGTTTATCCAACAAAAAGGATGACCCTCAGAGATGTTAAATAAATAAATGGAATAAGGTTTTTCCAACCAATAATGAATAAACTATTACAGTTTTTGGGGAGTCTTTTGGACCCGTTCTGCATAACCCTCATGGAAAAAACACTATAGCATCCATTAATACCAGTGTCGCAGAGAGTTCCAAGAAAGAAATACATGTGAGCTCTAAAATGAAAAGAATAATACTTAAGTTGGAGAATAAACTGTGCACAGGAAAAACAGCAACCATACAGACCACGTTCAGGGCTCTAATCAAGGTTTATGGTTCTGAAAGCAACTGTATTACATCTTCTGAACTAAGATCGATATTTGCATGAACTTAATGGCTATCTGCTACAAGAATGTCAAAATTCTAACTTCGATTCAGACAAAAACCCATGAACCATCCCACACTTCCCTGAAATTAATATTTGGAAAGTGGGAAAACTTCTGTACATACTAATTCAATACAGATCTCCATATTATGTATTCGACAACAGAGCATTAAAATAAGCCCTAATGCTGAAAAAGAAAAGGACCTGACCAAGCAAAAACATCATTGGCATAGTTCTGGAAGGATACAAAGAACTTAGAAGCCTGCTTCTATGCATTCCCAATAAAAATAAGCATAAAAATAAATTTAAAACCATGTTGGCAGGTGAAACTAAAATCCTAGAGGGGCTAAATTGAACCTTACTCAAATGGCCTTGGAGCTTCCCCTCAAAACATTGTGCATGCTCCCAATTAGCCATACATTTCTGATTATATATATCCCGCTGCATCCACTTCTTTCAGAACTTGGCATCTCTTGCCACAGATATCATTATCCAGCTCCATATCAGCTGTGCAATTAAGAATTCATGTAATGGACCGCTGTGCAAGATCCCATATCAGCTTTTTCTGCTGGTCATTAATGTGAGGTAAACATGCCTGCAAGAGATCAACTGGCATTTCCCTCTTAATGGCTCTGGCAGCATCTGATTCACTAACGGTTATATTTGGTTGGACCTGCATACGCAATGACTGCATAACTGTATCATATTTGTTTACGCAATACTTTGTGAGAAGATTAAAAAATTCATCAAAAGAAGCCTTCCAAAGGGAATGATTGTTCATATTGTAGTTGCCAGCAGCTCGAGACTCAGTTACGAGTTTTGCTGCCCTATCAAGAACAGACTTTAAAATGAGAGTAGCCCCATCTCCAGCAGGACTTCCAAGTGGACGAAGTGGTGGCTGCTCTGACGAACAAACCACTGCTGCCAGGCAGCCGCTAAGTGCACGAAGATCCATGCCATGAACACATGATGAAACAATCCTTGCAAGATTATTCATAGTTTCTGCTGCCCCTGAATCAGAGGGCAGGCCTCCAAAGAAGAACCTCAAATGACGGAAAATGGCCATGCAGACAATTCGCATAAGCTCAACATCCGCAAAAAGAAGCTGAAGGTACCTTGAAAGGAGCTTCTGGCCTTTTGGAAGAGAAACTAACCGTAAGAACACAAAATCATCCTTAGGAACATGCTCCTCCGCATGGTTGTTCTTGCCAAGTGGGTCAACCAATTGGAGCGATGCAGCTAGCCCTTCCAGCAGGTCTTGCCGCCTTCTTCTCAGCTGAGCTCCACCATCTTGCAGCTGATTGAACTGTAAAAAACGATCAATATCATCTACATCAAGAAGAAGACACAGACCATCTTCAATTGCAACTCTAGCAGCAAGCATGGGCTCCTGTTCCAGAGGCTTATCTGATGCTTTCTGCTCTGTGTTGCTGACAAGAGATGAGTTTGGAGTATCAACTTCAAGGAGAGGGCGAGGCCTACGAATCGAAGAGAAAGGAACCCTCCCAAGAGCATCAACTTGGAGAAATGCATGTGGCTCAGTATTAGGACGTGCTCGAGGAGGAAGCTCTCTAAGGTGAGTAGGGCAGAAATGATGTTTTAACTTTGCACCAGCAGATTTCCTAGCTAGACAAGCCTGGTGGTAGTAATCATCCACGTATGGGTCATTACTGTGAGTTGCTGCAAGCTGCATTCTGACAATACCCTCAATATCATCAGCTGTCATGTATTTAGATCTAAACAGCAGCCACCCTCGATCACTCCTCTGCAAACTAGCATCCAATCCCAGCTGAGAAAAATGTAGATTCTGCCTAACTTTCTGGGTTGGTATTGGTCTTTGATCCCGCAGATCAGTGAGACTAAGCATTGCTTCAAGCTTGTTCATAAGGGGTGGAGATGCAGAAAGATGAGGATTGAATAGTTGGGACTGGATCCCTGACAAATGGCCAATTGTAGGCTGAATGGGGTGCTGCAATCTTTGCTTCTGTGCTTGTAGCTGTGGCATTAATTGTGGTGGAACCAACCCATTTTGATGAGGTAGCTGCTGTTGCAACACATTACTCAAGATGCTGGAATTATCTCCAGCATACAAGTTTGGCTGGTTGACCCACTGATTTTGTGGTCGACTATTGACAGGTAGACCAGGAGGAAATTGAGCTGCATTGCCACCATATTGTGGCCCATGATGCAAGCCAGACATTTGAAGCTGAGAATTAGTGAAGGCAGACATGTTTGGGGAAGATGCCATCTGTGTCCCACTAGCCATATATGGTATATTAAGATGACCTGAATGGTGATTTGGTGAAGCTTGTGGAGACCTGCCACCAGGAGGAGGATATGAAATGTATGCAGATTTTGGAACAAGAATTGGCTCACTAGAAAAGTGTTGATGTTGTTGCTGCTGTTGCTGCACCTGCTGCTGCGGCTCAGGGTATGAGGATGTTCTGTATATAGGCTTTGAGGCAGAAGAAGAAAATGGCTGTGATGACCATCGCTTGCCATCAGAAATGCTTTCATTTTCAAGCATTTGCTGACCAAGCCAATTAGAAAAATCCTCCCTCTGTGCCCATTCAGCTGCAGATGAACCTTGAAGGAAAACATAATAGTCAGAACAGTGAAAAGAATATCAATTAAAATACAACCCTCAACAGAAAATGAAGATATATGCGTGCAGGTGCACAAAGACTGGCAGCAGAAAATTCAGTCCTTTTCCAACCCAAAGTTTACTCACCAGATAACTTTGGATAGATAATATTCAGCATTCATGGACAGCTGAATAACACATGCAAATCTAAAGAATATTCCAAAATGGTTTATCTCTCAAATATTAAATTGCATACAATGTACACGTGCATATTTTGTCAATTAATTAGTTCTCAACATTTGAATATCATCGTTAAAAAAATAATGTGAATGATCAAGTCAAAAAACCTGGCTGATGGCCTTTTTTTTGGCTTTTAAGGGGTTCTAAGGTTATTTAGGCTACCCTTTATTAGAGTGCTAGGAACTATATCCCCTCCCCCTACCACAGGGAGTGAGGGCTGCCCTTCCCTCTGCTTCACCTCCCGGATAGGTAAGGTAAGGCTGTGGAAAGACAGTGCCACAAGGCAATTCAATTAAGTGGTCAACATAGGTGCTTAGATTGGAAGGAGGGCTAGCAGGCCCCAAAGAGGTAATTAAAGAAACTAAAAATTGCACTCACGGTGATTGGAATGAAACTAATTCAATGTTATAATTGGAAACTTTTCAAGGGGTACCTTGATATTCTAACACCTCATGAACATTACAGCAAACTGGCCCATAAAAGGCAGCAAGAAACTAGTTGAAAAATTAAACCATTAAAAGAACTGTTGCAACTTTTCAAATGGTACCTTGACATTTTAAGGAAGCATGTAAAATGGTAACAAAATTAGCCACAGAAGTTCAATTACTTTTGTGTTTATCATTACAAACCCTCTGCTTGCTAATAATTTGAGATGCATGTGTTAATCATTTGAAAAGTTCAAAAATTGCCCACATGCAGAAAAGAAAAGCATATGGACAAGAAATACCCATCCTTTCTACTTTTTACTCATTTTAATATCATAAATCAGCTGCTCATTATCCCTTTATCCATCATGTGCATTCTTATGACAAACAAAAGTTTCTATCATAGTTCATCATCTTCATAGATGGAGGATAGGAATTTTGAGAGACTTCACCAATTTACAAAATGCAATAACAATTTGACTTCAACCACCCCAATGTTTAAACATTTTGGTTGACTAAAGACACATCATATATATATATATATATATATATATATACATATATATATTTCATCTCTTATGGATGGTGAACATGAACTTGCCAATTGACCTACTGGCCCAAGTGCCAAAGGACAAGGCCTCTTTACAGATCTTTGCATGGAAGCAGCCATACATCTCCATAGACATACCTATATCTCTACCTGAATGACTAAATGCATGCTTTAATGTAATATATGTATATTATCCTAGCTAAGAAATCTCTCTCACAAAGTCATTGCACAAAAAGAAAAAGTTAACTCAATTTCAAAACGGAACCTTTGAATAGAATAACAAAATGAACAAGAAAAACAATACAAGATCCCTCTTTCAATATTTGATCAAATCTGATAATGGTATTTTAATTCCACAGGAACCAACAGAAGAAATTATTCAAGGCAAAAAAGTGAACTTACTTTCTCTGGATCCCCTGTCACCAAATGTCCCTACACTTTTTGGTCCGCTAACAGCATTATTCAACTGATACAAATATAAGCTAATTTTAGTGAACACTCACAACCAACGCAGAGCCAGAATTGACTGCCAAGAAACATATAACCACACAGCATGCTACCAGTAAATACATATGCAACAATATATACAGGTAGGAATATAACTTCATTATTATGGTTATTTCAAATCTAAAGAACTTTTATAACACACCGAAGTTGGCTTACAACAACCAGTAAGCTAGAACAGTTGCACAAAGTGGAAACCAATCAATCAGACCTTATAAAAGCTAACATAAATATCAAGCAGAATTATGGTAGTTCTTTCAAACAAGGGGTTTTTTTTTAAAGTAAACTCGAATTTAATAGTCCTTTCATGAATAGGTATTTTCGAGCAACAATATTCTCCAGCCTGAATCATCATAGAGAAAGCTGAATTTCAAGACATGTTCTTGAGAAACAGGGCAAACTGAAAGTTTGCAAGGAAGAAAATGATTTCAATGAGATTTTATCCCCCTCTACTGATTTTATCCTGCTCACAAGGAACAAGGTTCTGATTTCCAAGGCATTCATGAAAAAGCTTGGTCTGCCCCTCCGAATACCTCTACTTTTAGGACAGATAGTTGAAATGATCAAATGCCTTAACCATAAAAAGTGTAAAACTATGGGCTAAAATAACATATTAAATTAGCCTCCATGGCACACTACACTAACTGTGATTGGTAAAAGAGTCCTTGAGCATCTTCAGCAGTTACACAGTTGAGTAAAGCATACAGTACAATACTGTAAACAGACCTTTGAAAATGAACTAGCAAGATCATCAATATCAGACTGGGATCTTGATATCTCGCCCTGAAATTAACAAATAAGAAGTTAGACAGACAGAAATAATCTGAAAGTAACACCAAAAACACAAGCCATTAAAATCAAGATTAGGGCACTCATACGAGAGCACTAGCCATTTCTAATCACTTCTAGAGAATAAATCAAAAATGGGAATGGAAAGGTCGGGAAGAAGAGAGCAAATGACATGAAACTAAGATCATTTTTTTTATTTTTTCTTCATGCAAACCTTAAACAACTACAGCTATTCAACCAGGAATGCAACACATTAAGAACTTCATTACAAACCAAGTCATAACCTAATACAACAATCACCAATTAAATGCCTTATCATCAATCAAACAATTAGAGCGAGAGAGAGATTTACATGCCATCTGAATTTTCAATTTTTTTATTCCAAAAAATGCATTAAATTTTGTAAGATCAATTGAAACATAAGAGTAAATCAAAAAAGAAGAAATTTAACCTCCTCTCTTTCAAAGAAAAACTCCTCTTCATCAAACTCAACCGCTGGTATTTCCTCCTCTTCATCTTCTAATCCCCCCAACTCAACTTCCTCAGGGACATTCTTTCCGAAGAATGCATATTGCGATGCATCAAATACTGCATCAACTGCGACAAAGACGAATGTGTCAGTCACCACATAATATTCAGGAATCAAACTACTTCTGTCATGAACAATAGGCCACATTTCACCATTAGCAGTACTAAAATACATGTTGAAAGAATTAAACCCAAGATGTAAAAGTAAAAAATTAGCATACATTAAATGCAGTAAAAACCCATCAAACTTTAAATATGCATATCACATTTACACCCATTCCAAACTCAATCAAACAGCACCCTCAAACTTGTGTACTCAAAACCCAAATGCACAACACCTCAAAACTATTGGATCTAGATTTTTCTTAATTTCACTACTTGTTTGACTTCAATTATGAGCCTTATACCACCCTTTTGACAGGGAAGCTAAACTTTCAGCTTAACTTCTTCCTCAGGAAACCAAACAGAGACCTCAAACCAGATCCCAATTAGAACAAACAATCATAAACAAGGTAGAAATCGAAGCTAAAGGAAGCAAAGAACGAACCTGCAGAGGTATCACCAAAATGGTTAAGATCCTCAGTCCTGGGAGTATCTTGAATACGACCCCCAATCTCAAACCCATCCATAATATCCGCTACCCACTTCAATTATTATTACTAAAACCAAAGAACTAAAAAAAAAAATAAAAAACCACCCAAAATCTACCAAAATATAGAGATTCCAAAACCCAAAAAGACCTAACCAGAGACTGAATCTAACAATCTAGAGCTTTTTAATAAAAGGAGAGAAAAACTCAAATAGACAAAATTGGAAAAAAAAAAAAACCTTTGGAATTAAATAGATATTTTGGGAGAGAAGATCTGTAGTACTAATTATTGGGTACAGTGTTTCATGGATACGAAAAGAAGTAATAATTTTCTCAAAGTCAAAATTTATGGTATCAAATTTAGAGAGAGAAAGATGGGGAAGAGGGGGAAGGAAGGGAGGAAGGAAGAAACCCTAGAGGGGATAAGGATGGCGATTTGTTGTTAATAATGTACAACAGATACAGGGGGGGCGGCGACGAGGGTTTGGTGTAAAACTAAAAATGTCAAATTTGTGTAATGCTGTGTTGGGCATTTTTTTGTTTTGTTTAAGACGCCTGCTTTTTTGGCTTCTGATATGCTTTTTGCTTTGGACCTTTGGTAATGAAATGTGGTAAAAAAAAATAATAATAATAATAGCAAAATGCAAAAGACAATACAAAAAGGTTCTGGTATTATTTTTATTTGTATTTCTTTATTTATTTATATTTGCTAAAAAAATATTGTACAAGAGATAATTTAAATCATTAGATTAGAGGAGACATGCTAACCATTTTTAAAATTCTTTTTATTTAATTATTTTTATTTTATCAATAACCTAAATAACTAAATGATTATGTCTTTTTATTGAAATTAAGATATTTTAAGTTCAAGTTACATAAAATGCAAATAGGATGAGATAAAAGATAAGAAATAATTGCCTCTTATTGTGCAATCAAGATAAAAAAATTATTTTTGTTTTATAATTTAAATCATAAAATAAAATTTTATTATATTTAAGAGTTATTTGATATAATGGTTTAAAATGAATAGATAACAATTTCATTTAATTTGACGTTAATAATTATTATCATTAATCATTTAAACATTTTTATTCATTAAATTAAATAAAATCATAAACAATTAATTTCAAACTATTAAATTCGACATCTCCTTATATGTTTTTTTTATTTAATATTGATTAAAATAGAGTTGAGCCATATTAAATCCCATATATTTTTATTTATAATATTTAAATTTAAAATCTTATTTAAAGAAAACCAAACTTATTTCATTTAAATTAATGAGTTATCAATGCTCATTACATAGATTTTACAAAAAGGAATCATTTTTTGTCTACCAAGAAAATAATAAAAGAGTTTGTTAACCTTGGTGATTGATAACGTCAGTAATTAGTAATTGAACTAAAACTACCCTCAAACTTCACAAAGTACTAAAAAAATCCTTGAACTTCAATTTTTGGGACCAATTTCGTCCTTCCATTAACAGAAGTGCCAGATGGCAAGTTAAGTTGCCACGAAATCAAGCTTTTTTTTTTTTCAACTAATGACATGGAAAAACCACATGTAAAAGTGTATGAGTTGTCATTTTATCCTTAAAATTACAAAATTATCCCTTATCTTCAAGTTTTTATATTTGTTGAAGTTACCAAAACACCCTTATCTTCAACCTCACTAATCCCTCACTTTTCGCAATCTCCTTCAACCTCTCTTCAATTCATCATCTTTTTTTCTTTTTTTCCCTTCTTTTTCTTTTTTTCTTTTTCTCCTTCCTTGCCTACTGGATTCAACCCAGCACGCCTGGGTTCGATAGAACCCAGGCGCAGGTTCAGGAACCCAGGCGCGGGTTCGGGAACCCAGGTGCTGGTTTGGGAACCCAGGTGCGGGTTCTTTGAACCCAAGCCTTGGGTTCGATGGAACCCGGACGCGGGTTCGAGTCGAACACGCTTGGGTTTTTTCTTCTGTTTCTTTGTTGGCTGCAGTGATGCTTGACTATCTTGGTATGGGATTTAGAGTTTTGATATGGGTTCTGCTTGCTTGAATTTCAAGGTTCAATTATGGTTGGTGTTGATTGAAGGGATGTTGCGTTTTTTGCATTTTTCTTTTCTTTTACAGATATGGTATAAGTTTGCAATATGATTAATTTGTTAAATTTTTATAAATTTGGTATAAGTTTATAGTGTAATTGATTTTTTGAATCAAATCTATTAGCCATTATTATTGTGCGAGGAACCAGATTTGGGTTCCATTACAAAGGAGGTTTGGGAGGTATGGGGAAGGAGGAGATGGTGATTGGAGTGAAAAGAGATGACTGGAGCAATGAGGGATAATCGGTGCTGATTGAGGTATTTAAGAAATTTTAAATTTTTTAATATATAAATTAATTAAAATGATGTGGATAATAAGTTATTTTTCATGTAATTAAAGATTTCAAACAATAATTGATTTTGTGGCAACTTAACGTGCCATCTGGCACTTCCGTCGACGGAAGGACGAAATTGGTCCCAAAAATTGAAGTTCAAGGATTTTTTTAG